ACTGTACTAATATATAGGGTGAGGTAGAGGCAAAAAATGCCTACAAAATTCAAACTATAAGCAAAGAAAAATTAGACCTGTGCTGCAGATACTCCACACTGAAGTCCCAACAGTGTATATACAACCAAAAAACAAACACGAGTCCTGCGCATCCAGCATAGGTGCTACCACAATTTATTTGAGGACAAAGTTAATGCAGCAAATGTTTCGAGCAGCAGCCCTTTCTCAATGCTAATGTCCTGTACTGTACTCGTGTTGCTCCTTCATGTACCAGTTTTGCATGTTAAGAGCTAGCACACTGCTTGCTGCATCACTATCTAAAAAAAAAAAAAATACACAAAATGTATCCTAACCACCAACCTTACATGGCAGACCAATATGTCCCCAGTGCTAAATTTCATGTGCCATATGTCTTTGTCCCTATGTCTTATAGCTGAAATTGAAAACTGAATTCCTAGGCAGATTTTAGAATGCAGGACAGGTCCTCGGAACTGGGGACAGTTGCCAAGTGTGGTCAATATTTACTTACTATTTAAATGAACCGCGAATTCCAATAAACAGACTCTGGAGGAATGAGAAAAAAAAAGGGTGAATTTAGTTTTTTGAGGTGAAAATGTAGGTTGCCACAGTTTCTAGGTAAATAGGAAGATTCCAGTTTTAAATGAGGTAAAAAGTTAGATTGGAAAAAAACCAATAACAACGTTATTCAATAAACTGAGAATTACTATGAATTCAGTGTGTTGTAGTGGTTCTGGTAATTGGCATTTCCTTCATGGTATAAGGCATATAGATAGAGACTTTTCCTATAGGACATATAGACATTGCATGTGATGGGTTGATCATAAGCCTTCAAGGTGAATAGCAGATTCTTACATTTTTCTATGAGAATGGGCATTATCTCATGATCTTGAAGTGAGTTAACAGATTCTAAGAGTCAGTAGGTAGATTCTGGAGGTATTGTGAAACATGAAATAATTCATGATAATGAATCAGTCATAAGTTTAATATTTGAAGGTTATCAGTAGTAAGTAGTTAGACATTTCCTAGATATAACTATAATTTAAAAGTACTACTTTTTTCCTAAATGTCACTGCTTACCAGGCAGTCATACCATACCATCTTTGTTTACTGGATTTGCACTTGCTAATAGAGATAGAGATTGATTGATTGATTACGGACCATTAAAAACAACCCCAAACAGTGTTTATGGAAATACCTTTACATACACACTCACTCTCTCTCACACACCAGGGGATCCAAAAATGTTGTAGAACTACAACTCCCATAATGCTTTGCATTCCTTTAGACTAACAAAGCCTCATGGAAACTATTTTTTTTTTTTAAACATCTGGAGATCTACTTTTAGGGTACCCCTTTCTCACACAAATGTATCTCTCAAATATGTTTTTTTTTTTAAATATATATTAAACCCACAGCTCTTTTCAGATGATTATGGCAGTAGGTGGGAAGTAATGCTTTTTGTATACTATGAAGAATTACAAGTGTTAAAAGAAAATAAATAGAACTCACAATGTGTATAAAATGCTGGCCTGCCCTGTGCAAATCATAGACATGTAAAGCACCAGAGACATTCATTGCAGCTCCCACAGGTCTCTATAACTCATTCCAGTTACACAATATTAACACCATGATCCCAGTCTGTAGACACTTAGCATGTTATGTCTGTCCCAAAGCTCTCACCTTACATTGTTCACAAGGGAGACTGTCAGTCCCCCTGCTATACCTGCAAAGCTGCTCTGCTCAGTGCTCATCATTTAAATGACGACAAAACGATTCCTCTCAATTCACAGCAGCTGTTCCACTGAATTTCCTAAACTGTATTGAGCTTCATTACCTGCCGTGCAAGGATTTACACACTCACTAGTGTCCAGGAAGGAATGTTCAAAAATACATGGAGTCCTCTCTTTGTCTCTCTTTGGTCATTAAAGCTATATTATTACATTTCAAGAAAATAAATTAAGTTTATAAATAAGGACACATCACTCACTGTCAAAGTAAAAAAAATAAAAAAAATAAAAAAAATAAAGCACACCAGGATATCTTTCTATCCATCTACCTATCTGATTGGGTTGTTTTTTTTGTTTTTTTAAATTGATTAATTTTTTTTTATTTTTTTTATTTTTGCTGAGAGGATAGTTGTCTTGCAAAATTGGGGCAAAAACAGCAGAATTAGACATTTTGTCCAACTCGACTAAACATGATTAAAATTTTCCTTAGCTCGGATAATTTGTCCTATAATTTTGACTGGGGAAGCAAGCAATATTTAACTTGATACAAAAATCTATACATGTTGATACATATTAAGGAACGTACGGGATCTACACCACCTATAGCTTTAAACTATATTTATATATAAATATGTCAGTGTGTGTGTGTGTTTTATTTAGTCAAATTCTTGAAAAAGCAGGATTTAAGTCCCTCTTCTTATTAGTGGAAAATAGTTGTTTTTTTCGCTCTGTGAATAATATATGTTTTTCTTCTATTTTAATTTAAATGTTATTTTATCACATAAAGAATTAATCCTACCTAATGCAAGTGGAGTGTAATAAATACATCCACAGTCTATGCCATTAACATCTAGATTTGACTAATTTTACAATTCTGTTCAGTGGTGTAAGATGAATATATTATTATAATTTAATATTGAATAATATGTTTAATTGCATGGCTAAGTGCTGTAAACAATTTAAAATATGTAGAATTGTAGATAAGATATGAGTGATAGGATATTCGCTCAATGCTTTGCCTTATTTTATCAAAACAGGAATTCTATATGAAATCACTGATACAGATTGACAGTCAGAATAATATTTCTACAAATATATATTTTATGCATAATTAAAGGTGTCTAGCTGCTACATACATACTGAGTTAAGAACTATCATAATTAAGGCAAAAATTACAGAGTTGGAAAAAATGATCCGGTTAGTCTATATTAGTCTAAATTTACTCAGATCAAATCAATTTGTCGTTTAGGAAATAATCCCAAATAGGGTTATGTAGGTTTTAGTTTTTTTAAGCATTTACCTGGTAATTATTATTTTATTATTATTTGTATGTGTATAAATATACCTCTCTTTCTGATATACATACACACACACACACACACACATACAAACACAGACATACAGACACAAGCACATTTCAAATTATCAGGACTCATAAAATCATGATTACCGTTAATATATGCCATTAATAAAGTCGCATTACTTGTCAAATAATTATTATATGTGAATTATTTCGCTGTACGAATTTCTGACATTAGCAAAGGGGGGGAGGTGGGGTGCGAGAGATGTACGTATGTATTACTTATCAAGTGTTAATTAGGTTAACTCTTTCAGCCCCGTGGCCTTGTTCTCCATGACTCGGTGGCTGCTAAAGGGTTAATGTGCAAAAGCATTTTGTACATTTTTTTCCCCATTATTTCCCTATACCAAAAAAAAAAAAAAAATTTAAAAAATTGACTTGAAAAATGTAGGTTTAAAAATACCAGAAAATCCCCAGACCAGTCATAAATGTATTTAATTCTTTTTAAATTCTGCTACATTTTTAAGTCTATACTCAAATGAGCACAACTCACTATTTAGTAAATAGGCCCCATAATCGACAGTTGTCCAAACCCCCTCTCTCTATCCATCCTTGCTTACTGTGTATTTATCTCAGCCTTTAAAAACATGGAGATTGTTGCAAATATAATTTTTGGGGGGGCTGGAAAGCTTAAATCTATATTTGGTGTAATTCTTTACAAATAAACAACGTAAAAAATAAATAAAAAGAATATAAAGAAAGTGAATGGGGAAAAAGCTCTTCTTACAAGTTTCTGAATGGGAACACTCAGGTTAAATGTATTGTTGTAGGAGCCTGACCATTGAAGAAGAGGGGAGGCTATTGATGGATTTTTTTTTTCCATAGTTTGTTGTGATATATAAGCTGAAATGGTCTGCAAACAAAATTCTTCACATGGAGTAGTAAGGGCTGTGTTATTGTAACAAACATACAAAAAAACACTGAATTCCTCCAAACTTTCTTAGTTCTGCTTAAAAAAAAATGGGCCTTTTCATAGGCTGCTTTACCACCACTCAGCCTAAATCTCTCTCCCTCTACCTCCTCCCTCATCACCCTCTTTTGATAATCCCACTCCTATTTAAAAAAAGGACAAAACCAGGTTTCATGCGGTGCTTTGGTAACTGAATGTGAAAGAAGTGATCTAGCAGAATTGAACTCTATGAATCACTTTGGAAAATTGCTTCCACTGAATGGTCTTAGGAGGAAAAACGTTTAATAAGATCCAGGGAGGGTCTGCTTTTTCAATCTGCTTCTTAAAACAGGTGGAAATTAGACTTTCTCCATTATACAAACAGGGGGGAAAGGAACAGCACTCTCCAGATCCTCAGATATCGAAGTTAGAAATATTCCATTATTTGGAGAGCAATACAAGAAAGGAGAAACTAGTGTGAAACAATGTGATCGAGCATTTAGAGACATCGAGAATATTAACCTATTAAATAGCCTAAAATATACAATATTCCACTGAATATATTACCATGCTGCACAGACTACCAATCACATTAAAAAACAGAAAAAGAAAAAAATAATACATCAAACAACATCTGTTTCAAATATATATACACACACACACACACACACACACACACACACTTTAGCCAAATGCAATGTGTGTGTAAAAGAAACATGTAGTTATTTTAGAATAAATTTTTGCCATTATTTTTACCAGCACATCTCTTTTCCCTTGCTTCTCCCATTAGCCTGTCTACTTATTAATACAATACATGTAAACAGATCATTTGAGTTACTCCTATCATTAATAATTCCAAATTAAAGTCTCAGTGTACAAGTTGACTTTTGAGAGAGTGAGCAGGTTCTGCTGAGAGTCCACCTCATTAAAGTTTGGGTGCTGAGACTTGTGTGACTGACTCCCCCCTCCCCTCGCCTTCCCCCCCCCCTCTTATTAATCAGGGATGGGGTAAGTAGATTGCATTGCATGCTTGCTATGGCATTACATGTCATTCTGTTTCCAGTGACTGTGATTCTATGTGATGTCAGTTAAATGCAACAGACAGTGATCTCACACGGGTGAAGATGTCTGCTATCAAAGTGATAGTGTGCGTGCACTGCCCCTCTCAATGCTTGCTGCCTGCTCTCTAGAAAAGGTAAGATCTCCAAAGCATGGCTTTTGCAATAACATTTACAGTTTGGAACATAGACTGCAGACACATAGATTGTTGCGATGTACAAACAAGTCCTACCTAGGCTGTTACTCTGTGTGTGCTGTGTTTAATGAGCATTAATCTGCTACCCCTAGTGCCATTGTCCCTGGGTGTTCATTTCAATGTTAATAGGTAGTTTGGGCATAGAAAGTCACTTATTAAACTGATTTCTCTCCTGGCTTGTTTGTGGAATGTAGCACTGGGACACACTGAAGATTTGGCTGTAGCGCTCTCCTCTCATCCCATCAAGTTCCTACCAGCATGGCAAGCTCTGCATCTTTCGAGCCACTGAAGTCCCCCTGCCAAAGGCTGGATGCAAGAAATGGGGTTTCCTCCACCCCAAAGACCTTGGCTTTTTCCATTGAAAGAATTATGGCAAAGACTTCAGATCCCAAACCTACTTTCTTTGAACCAAACCCCCAGCCCATGGAGGCAGAAGCTAAAAAAATCTTAAATCTTTGCTCACCTATTCCATGCATGATCCCCATCCAATCTTTGAATTATGATGTGCACTCCAAAACTCTCCTGAATTATTCGGAGATGTGGAAGAACAGTTTAAGGGGGGCTGTGTGCAGTTCCACTGGTTTGTGCAAATCGAACTGTGGCATTTGTTGTAAAAATGATTTAAATATGGGGAACTCTGTTCTTTCAACAAGCAGGGTCATCAAACCGCAAGTGATCAATCAGACTGTTGGGGTACCAAGTAATGGATCTTTATATTATTTCAATTACCTGGAGTCTTCCTATCACCATACGGACATTCTGAACGGACAGTTAATTCCATCTAGCATTTTAAATGCACAGTCTCCATCTACCCTCTCTGCTCATCAGAAATTGTTCCTGCTAGAAAATGCTAAACTGAGTTTGGCTGCAGAGAAATTCCCCAATCCTCAGTACCCCCATAAGGAAAGGCTTCCTGGACACTTGGACCAAGTGATGAAAGAGAATACAGCATTATCAGTGGAGAGAAATTTAAAAAACAGCAGCAAACTGAATCCCAGCACAGTAGATGGAAAACCCAAAATCTTCACTTGCGAAATATGTGGAAAGGTAAAAATATATATATATTTATCCAATATTTAATGTAAATGAAATGAAGAATAGCAAATTAGAAATGTATATTCCTATTTAAATAATTCATATTCATTAATAACAAATAGCATTATTTAAATTACAATGGATTGAGACGATTATAAATTATCGTATTTAATTAAAAGATAGACATTTATCGTTTATTAAATAGAGATATTTAAATTATTTTTAATAAAATGTTTTCAAAATCGCATGTCCCTTTGTAAGATTTAGTTTAATTATAAATTTAGAAATAACTATAAAATAAATAACATTGTTTTCCTAAGCGCTGAATGAAACAATTAATTTTAATACATATATTTTTTTTCCCAATCAGGTTTTTAATGCGCATTATAATTTAACCAGACATATGCCAGTTCACACAGGAGCCAGGCCGTTTGTCTGTAAAGTTTGTGGTAAAGGCTTCAGACAAGCCAGTACACTTTGCAGACACAAGATCATTCATACACAGGTAAACAATTAAACATTCATTTATTTGAACATTGTTGATTTTTTTTTTTTTATTGAGATTATTACTCAGATGCATATATGCAAAACCTCATAACTTAAATATATTTAACATAGTGTGTATCGTATTTATTTTTTTTTTTAGGAAAAACCCCACAAATGTAATCAGTGTGGAAAAGCATTTAACAGAAGTTCCACCTTAAATACTCACATAAGGATTCATGCAGGTTATAAGCCATTTGTATGCGAGTTTTGTGGCAAAGGATTTCATCAAAAAGGTAATTTGTAACAATATCTGCTGTACAAAATATTTTACTACTAATTGAAAATATCTGCATTACTTAGAAAATCTATTTTATTTCAATTCGTTTCTAAAATTAAGATTTAACAAATTAAACTTTTATATTCTAAAATGCTGCAAATTCGCAATTTCTAGATTTGTGTTATTTTAAGTTAAACCTTTATTTTTTTTTTTTTAAAGAAAACAAACTGTTTTTCATGTTTTACAATAGAAACTGACCTTGTATACATTAAAATAATAAATTGCAGTTCTGTGATGCAAATAAGAATCCGTTTAATTCCAACTGTTCACTGTGTGTGTGTGTGTATTATTTTTTATTAGATATATACAAATAAATAACACACACACTTGTGTTTTCTTTAATGTATTTTTTTCAAGCAACAATTTATCAAATTTCCATCACGTTTTAAACAGCAATCCCAGGGATTAAAAAGTTCAAATCAACTTGTAGCTTTCAATTATTTTGCATGAATGAATTAAAGACATTTTTTCCCTGACAGTATTAACTATATTACTGTGTATGAGGATGTGCCATTTTTAGGTAGATTTGTTCTCATTTTTCCGGGTCACAAAACTGGCCTTCCTATAATTTTTTAATTTGTCAGTTGTATGTTCAATTAGCTTGATCCAAAAGAAGTTTGACAAGTTCGGATTTCAACTTGTAGATCCCATCTTAATGAAGACTTGCATCAAACTAAATTTCTGTCTTTTTTTTAATTTGAAGTGGATTTTATGTTTGATATATATTTTTATTTTTATTTTTTTTTTTACACAAGTATGTTTTTCTAATTTCTTTTTTTTTTTCTAACTGTAGGTAATTATAAAAACCACAAATTGACTCACAGTGGAGAAAAACAATATAAATGCACAATTTGCAATAAAGCATTTCACCAGATTTATAATTTAACTTTCCATATGCACACACATAATGACAAAAAACCATTTACCTGTGGCACTTGTGGAAAAGGATTTTGCAGGAACTTTGATTTGAAAAAGCACGTGCGGAAGCTACATGACAACGTTTTAACATCTTGTTCGCTGAAAGAAATCTCCAGGACTGCACAGAGCTAGGGACCATTTGTCTACAGAGTGACAACACTGTGACTATATACATCGCGTTCCTTACCGGATGATTGGACTAAGAGCACCTGTTTTTCAGAGATTCTACAAAACGAACGCTGTGAAACATTTAAATATATTTTGTCTGATCAGATATGGTAATGTTACCCAAGACATAAAGAGATTCAAATCAAAAATCGTTTATATAAATATATATTGTGTTTAATCAAATCTTTAAAAAAAAAAGTAAAATACCAGATGGACTTTATACATTTGTAAAAATTAAGAATCTAATGTACAATTGATTATACGATGAATTTGACAATAAAAAAAACAGATTAGTAATTCATTTTATGTGACAGCGAGATTCTCAGGTTAACGATGTAAATTAAAATTTAATACACCTTTGAATTTTGGCTTAAACGATTTCTGCATTAAAATATAGAGGGGATTTATATTTCAGCAGTTGGAGTGGATTTAAAATGTATGTGCACACACAGCGCAATATTAGTATACTGAATATTCATTATATTTTAATAATGGTGCATTGATGACCCAACACATACCAATTATATTCTAAATATGGAGAGAACTGCAATTGCTTAGGATTTGTAGGTAATATAATGCTATCACTCTATAATACAGTCAATTAGTATTTCCTTAATTCATTTCTGAAAAAAAATAATTTAAAAATAGAATCAATGAGTACAATCTGGCAAACCAATGTAGCTCATGTGCTTGTCTGTATATATATATATATATTATATATATATATACACACACACATACACACACTATCTAGAAAGCTTTTTTTTTTAAATATGTATTATATATACATATTACGGCTACTCCCACTATGCCCAGCCAGGGATAGATGCGCATATTGGAGAATATATATAGATAGATAGAAAGACACGCAAATAATTGCATGTGCAAAAACATGGGAGCAGTTACTTGTTTTATTAAGAGCTGTTTAAGCCATTTGCAAAATAGCCATCTCTTCCCTGGGTGTTGATGAAATGATCCCACGCTTACATTTCTGAGTAATGACCATTAATGAAGAGAGAAAACAGGAACTCTTTCAGAAAGCTTTAGATAAATCATCCCCACGAGGTGGCCAGGCTAATTTAACTCTTTGCTATTCAGAATACAGAGAAGCAATTTTGTTAAAGCAGGTAAGGAGGATCACTTTGTCCCCTCTTCATTTTCTACGTTCTATTCCACTCACAGATCATTCCACTAAATGAAATAGAATGAGCCTGGTTAACCGTTCGTGATGCTCAGTCCAAGTTAGACAATAACAATGGAACTTAGCACTGCACAATATTATTTAACTAACCCTTCTGAGAATCTCAGCAGCAATGGAAAAATGGGTGCTTAGGACATGCACTATAGACTATTGATCAAATTGGGGTGCAGAATAGCCAAATGCATTTTCTACAAGTCTTCCAAAGTATGGCATTGTTATATGAGGAGATGTGGAATCCTAATGGATATTATGTTCTAAATAAAGCCCTGTTGCTAGTTTTGTTTTCCAGAGATCGAAAGAGAAGAATGATCTGCTGCTGCAGCTTGTATTGTTGAAGAAACACACATACACCCATGCAGAAATGGCCAGGAGTTTTAATTGTTAGGTTATATGGGGAACACCTGTGAATGGGAATCAACTGAAATAGACCTGGCTGTTTAAAATGACCTCGTGGTATTTTTATAGCCAACACAGAATGATCTAATAGCCCCAAATAAATCAAAATTAAATCAACAAGTTAGTAGCAACACCTCCTATCAGATGTCAATAATCATATTAACACTATTTACAGCCCTGGTGTGCAATAAGGCATGGTGCATTAAAACTCAAGGTGGACACACTTTATTAGCAGATGGCCATATCAGGTTCCACTACTTGGTAAAATAGTTTGATTATACTATAATAGACACATGATCACTTACAGGATTATTTACTAGAGTGAGAATTTAAAATGAATTTCAAATTTAAGGCCAAAGCAGCCAAACTGAAACCATACCTGATTTAGAGAATTTTTCCAGTTTGGCTATTTATACCTTGAGTTTAAAATTCACTTTGAATTCACTATGAATTCTCATTTTGTGAATAACTCTGTAGCCAAGTGAATATTAGAAAATGCATCCATTGGTCTGTTGGTAAGTACACACAAGTGGTAAAATTAGAATATGGCATAAAACACCAATACGCTTGAATCCATGGATCTATTTAGTCTTGTGTCAGTGCAATGGGTCAGTGCTGATTGTATAGGATTCCCATACAGGAATCCATCCATAGCCATAATGGCTATGAGATATTTCCAGCAAGGTAAGTCAGGTGAATATCACCTTTGAAGCTGGTTTTACAAACAAGACAATGAGTTCAGCTCAATTATACGGAATGCACTAGTATCAGACTAGAATCCAATAATCCATACTTTTGGCATGACGTGGGGCGGGGTTCACAGCATCAATAGATGATTGGAATTCTGCAGCAACTGTGTGATTGTCAAGTATTATTTCAATCACAAAAAAATCTCAAAGTTTATTTGTCATTAGGAAACATTCCTTGACTCTACTCTGAAATGGCAAATATTTGCTCACATTGATTAATTAATGCCCTATCCCCACCAAATAAAAATAGCACTTCCATAAGAGCCTTACAATTTTGTAAAGAATAAGGTCAATAGTTTCTATACAGATCAGCCAACCTCTAGATCAGTGGTTGGCAACCTTTGCACTCCAGATGTTGTGGACAACAACATCTCCCCTGCTTCTTTTCCAGCATACTGGCATACATTTTTTTACATTTTTTACATACTGGCTGTAAGAGCATTATAGAAAATTTAGACCAAAACATCTGGATTGCCAAAGGTTGCCTACCCAAGCTCTAGATAATAGTTGCTGTTGATATAATAAAACAATGCGTACCTATCCACGACAAGTAGACTTGCCATGTCTCTTCTGTAGATACCATACAGAAATAGACCATTCTTTTCCAGCCCTTGCTTGCTGTATGTAACACTTGATGTTCTGATTAATTTGCCTATTTGTTTTTTAATTTCAATTTGTTCTTACCCCATTGCTATGTCTGTTATACTTCATTTTCACTCAAAAAAAGTGGCTAAAAATGTGCGTATGAATATCTGAAACAATGGATAAAACCAACAAGGGTGAGTCAAGGTTCGTGAAACCCAGTTGCACATTTTTTCTGTGTACCAGGTGGGTGTAATTAAATTAGCCATTTTCTTTCTACACCCCACAAACACAGCTACTCTAAGAATATTACACACACAGTATGAACTACTCACGACCAGCCTCTACATCCTTGTTGCTTCTATTCCAAGAAATTAACTGAAGTTGAGGTGAACTATGGCATTGGTAACAGAGAATTACTGGCCATTGTCTTTGCTTTCAAGGAATTGAGACATTTACTAGAGGGAACAAAAATCCTGTTTTGGTTTTAACTGACATTACAAATGTATCATATATTCCAGAAGCTAAATAACTGTCATCAAGACAAGCTCGCTGATCTCTTTTTCTTCACGTTTTAATTATAACATCACATAGTTTTAGTTATCGTAACCAAAAACTGATGCCTTATCCAGGCAATATAAGTCTATGGAGGTAAAACATAATGGGAACATTCCAACAGTACCTTCGGAGCGAATAGTGGCAGCTACTGCCAGTCTGTTATTGCCTTTACCTGTCTCTACGAAACCATGGACACATTTAGCCATAGATTTTATTCTTGACCTATCACCCTCTGAATGCAATACGGTTCTTCTGATGGTAGTGGACAGGCTCTCTAAGATAACAAAAAAATAGGAAAAGAGTGCTGGGCCTAAAATATATACAGACAATTAAAAACGTCAAATAGCTAAATATAAAACCAATAAAATAGTCCCCAAAAAGTCTTAATTAGAAGGTGGCTTATTTTATACCTCTCAAAAAATGCTCTCTGCAGAACAGCTAGTTAATGTCTTCTCTAAAGATATATTTCGGCTCCATGGGATACCGGATGAAACAGTCTCTGATAGAGGTTCTCAGTTTGTCACTCGATTTTAGCGATGTTTCTGCTCTGAAATGCGTATTCATCTGTCATTATCCTCTGCTTACCACCTTCAATCTAATGGGGCAGTTGAGAGGGCAAATCAGTCTCTAGTTAACTACCTATGAAGTTTCATTTCCATACAGGAACATCAGGACTGCTCTATTACCTTGGGCAGAAATTGCAAGGCATTCCTCTCCTCATTGGACATAGTCCTTTCCTGGTAGCTTACGGGATGCAAAACAGCGTTCTTCCAGGTGTTTTCTCTGATAAGGGCATGTCATGCGTGGATATTCATCTAGTCGAGTTACAATCTTTGTGGAGGAAGTTAAGGGAATTCTTACAGAAGGCATTCTTCTCCTAAAATATTTTATTGATAGACATCATTGGCCTGTTGCTACATATAAAGTGGGCGACAGGGTCAGGTTTTCAAACCATAATATACACCTTCGTGTCCCCACTATGAAATTTGCTATGAGGTTTATTGATCCTTACAAGATTCTCAGATGAGTCAGTTCTCTTTCTTACTCCTTAGACCTACTCAATTCTCCATTAAAGGAACACTATAGGGTCAGGAACACAACATGTACTCCTGACCCTATAGTGTTAAAACCACCATAGAGCCACCATGGTCCCCTTTGCCCTCACTAACTATAGTAAAATCTTAATTGTGTTAAAGTCTCCAGCTGCTGCCTCTGCCCCTGATTTGCCTGTATGGCTGACATAATCAGAAGTGATGCTCTGGTGCCAAAGACTTACGACCAGATTACAGCACATTATGACAACCCCATGGCCAGAGTGTGTCTTAATGGCGCATACACAGAGCCATTCCAAATAAAGAGTGGAACTAGGCAGGAATGCCCGCTGTCGCCAGTGCTCTTTGTCCTTGTCTTCAAACCATTCCTTCAGGCGGTGAGACAGAATCCGGATGTTAGGGGATTGCACATGGGGGATAAGTCGCATAAGGTGGATGCTTACGCCAATGACTTGCTAATTTTCTTTACCGCGTCTGAAATGTGGCTTTCCAATCTCATGGAGTTTGACAGCTATGGCGACCTCACAAACTTCAAAATTAATTAAACGAAATCGACGCGAATGAATGTCAAAGTGCCAGACCGGAGAGCTGACGTTTTACGCAAAAGCTTTTGGTTTCAGTGGTCGTAAAGAGCAATCAAGTAGCTGGGGATATGGTTGATGAGGGATCTCACTCAGCTCTATCAAGCAAACTTTGAGGATTTGTCTTTGCCTCACACATC